GAGCTTTCAGTGTCTTTGTGTGGTAAAATGCCCAAATGTGTCTGTTGCAAAGTCCAACTTCCCTGGGATACTGCAGAGCAGTTGTTTCTCTGTCAGATGTAGGGTTTTTTTGTTTAATAGAATAAAGTAAGTTATTCATTACAGTTTTTAAAACAACTTTAATTTGCTTCAAGTGGGTTTTTATTACTATTATTTTTCATTCAACCCATTTCTGACAGTATGCTTAGTTTCAGAACCACAGAAGTAGTGGAAGCTGTGTGGTTATGCATACAGAAGCTGAAACGAGGGATTTTATCCCTCAGCTTCTTTGACCTATAGTTGGTATCCTCAGGGAAAAATAATTCAACAGGTATTGCAGAGTGAAAGCATCTTTCTTTGCCCTTTCCTGGGACAGGCCAGGGCAGCAGGTAATCCAGCTCCTCTCTCCACACGTAGGTGGGTAGAGTCTCACTCTACTAGAATGAGTTAGTTCCCTGCATCGACAGCTTGCTGTGCTGTTCTCTTAATGACCAGCCAATTGTTTCTTATCTGGTTACTTCTGTCAGTGATGTACTTAAAGCTTCTCTCTTTGTCTTTATTTTCAATCTCTCATTTATCACTTTGGCAGTATATGCTATTTGTGGGCAGCAACATTATTGCCCAGCAGTAATTCCAATTGTGGTTAAGGTTTGGATATTAAAATGGATTATCTATAAAATATGCATTAGGGAGTGGGCTTTACTTGAGGGTTTTTCTATCAATTCTGAAGAAAGGCTTGGACATTTTTCTCCTGACAGAATTGACAGGAGGGAAGGGGAGAAAAAACCCTTGTTCTTAATAGCAGGTTGCATCAGGAGTCACAAGCATTAAATCCGTTATCATATGGAGTTATTACAGGAAATCTTTTAAGTGGTGTCAGCGTATGTTTCTGACACACATTATAGTGCAGTTCGTGTCATTGTCACTGCAACGTTGCAAGGGCTTGTTCTTAAGTGTTCGGCTTCCAAAGCGTAGGCCAGTGGATGGGACATTGCCATAATGGACGTTGGGCAGACAGAGCTGAAACACGTTAACTGGCAAAATTTGCAGTGTTACTTAGAGTAATAATGTATTTTAAGGTAGCAGATAAGTGTTTTGACCATGATCTGGTGTTAACTTCCCAGGTGATCCCCCTGACATGCACTGTTTGAGGCTGTTCCTGCAGTCTTCTCAGTAGATACTTCCTGCCCAATAGACCCAATCCTGAAAATCCATGTTTGTGTAAGATTTGGAGATTGCAGCTTCTGCTTTCAGTCTGTACATTAGTGATTCATAAATGTTTCTGTTAAGGATGATTTTGATATTTGATAATGGAAACAGCTGGGGCATCATGCTTGGAAAGAACAGCCACTTCTGCAGATGGCTTTAGGAACAAAACCCTTCCTGTCCCTTCCAGTACTGTCTGACCTGCCAACATTTTGTCAACCATCTGCATGTAATCTTTGAAACACAGTTTGAGGATCATCTCTTATTTCATAGCTCGATCAAGTGATAATGTTTATCAAGAAAAGATTGGTTTATTTTCCTATATAGAATATACAATGAAAATGTTAAAGAATCACTTTTCTGTAGACCCCGTCGCCTGTTCTGTAGCTTAGCTTGAGTTTATCAAAGTGGGAATTAGTTCTGTCTTAGTCTGCCTGCAGAAGTTGATATAAATTGTGGCTGTTCAGCTGAAGAAATGCTAGAAAAGTCCTTGCATAAAATGCTGTGTGGATCACGTGCTGCTGAGACTCTCCAAGCACAATTTGCACTTGGGCTTAATTCCAGAACTGTTAATGTGAGCTACATAAGCCAGTAAAGTGATGTAATGTAAAACAGATTTAACCCTATATATCCCCTTACCCTCCTCTGAAAGAAATATTGATGTTAAGTCATTTCAGCCTTATTTCTTAGGTTTGCTGGCTAATAATTAAAATGAGAGCAAGCTCAAAAGGTCCAAGGTGATATCTAAAGCCCAGTATTTTTCTGTCTAGTCAGAGAAGGAAATGCTGCTCATCTGTCAAAGTGCTGGGGCTGGCATTAGCTGATCAACATGGAGCGTGTGGGAAGATGGAGGCAGCACAGTCTGCTGTAATTAAATCACTTAAAATGAGTGTTATTTTGTATGAGGCAGGGAAGGCAGGAGACCAGCATGGCTGGATGAAGACCTCATGTGAAAACTGAAGCACAAAGAGGAAATGCACACGGTTGGACCAGGGACGTTCTGCTGGGAGGAAGATAGGGACAGTGCCTGCGGGTGTGGGGTTGGGATCAGGGAAGGCAAGGCATGGTTGGAGCTGGATTTAGCAAAGGATGTAAAGGATAAGAAGGGTGTATTAGTCAGAAAAAGAAGATTAGAGAAAATGTGCTCCCTTCCCTCCATAAACAAGACAGGAGAACCAGTGACGTGGAGGGGGTTGAGGCAGTGAATTTTTTTGCCTCAGTAGTCACTCTTCCCACATCTCTCAAGTCCCTGAACCTCAAGGTGGTGACTGGGGGAATGAATTCCTTCCCATGGTAACAGAAGATCAGGTTTGAGACAGCCTCAGGACATGAACATACACAAGTCCATGGGAGCCAACAAGATGCATCCCAGGTCCAGAGTTGGATGCTGTAGCTACTACAGACACTCTCCATCTTACTTGAAAAGTCATGGCAGTAAAAGGAAGTCCCTAGTGCTGGAGGAAAGGGAACAAGGCTCCAAAGAGACTTCATTGCAGGACCTGTTGTGGCAGTTCCAGGGGCAACAGTTTTAAACTGCAGAAGAGGAGATGTTGAGTCACTGGAAGAGGTAGCGCAGAGAAGCTGTGGCTGCCCCATCACTGAAGTGTTCAAAGTCAGGTTGGACAGGACCCCATCCTCTAGTTTCGTGGTATCGTGAACGTGCAGAGTATTTGCTGTGTTGGTTTGTTCCATGTTTTTGTAATATCCCCAGGATTTATTTTAAAGTGAAAGGGAATATTGTCAATGTGTTCATTTAAAAAGCTAAACTCCATTTTCTGGCAGTCTTTATGTAATTGCTTTATACTTCTCAGTATAACACATCTTGTTGTTCAACTTCTTGAATTTAAACAGAAAGGATTTGCATGCTGGCTTCAACTAAAAAAAAAGTGATGGAGAAACTCCTTGGTGGAAATTGAAAATTTGAAGCTTCTTTTTTTCCCCCTTGCCTCCCATCTGTTTGCAAAGTTATTTTCATGCAATTACATCATTTAAACTTTACATAAGGAATTATTGCAAGTGAGTCTTGTGCGATTCTGCTTCTTGTTGCCAGTGTTGCATTCTCTTCCACCAGTGCGTCGCGTGGCTGCTCAGTGTGATGTCTCTGTTGCCATCTATTGATGACAGTAGAGATGTGTCTACACCATTGGGTAACCAGTGAATCTAACCATTGGGTAACTGAATCACTGCATTATTTCGTTAGAAATACAGGGTCTCAAATTGTGAAAAACCATCTTGTTTATGTGAATTTGCAAGCAAAAGTCAATGCTATCAAATGAGAATCAGCCAACAGAGGAAAGAAAAGTCATCCTTATCTCACCCCTTCATCCCTTTATATACTCCTCCTGCCATGCTTGCTCTATGCCAGGATTAAAATCCATGCTATAAAAACAAAATGAGATCAGATCCCTTCCATTTCAGCAACTCGATCTGCTTTGCTTTTTAGTGTCACGCAGTTAATACTGGTGGGTGTATGTTGCCTGTAGCTCACTGGGGTTGGGGAGGAATATACGTAAAGACATAGAACAAATGCCCCATGTTAATTTTGTTTCAGAACTTATGATTGTAATGCCTGTAGCATGGTGTTGCTTTATGCCAATGGTATTTGTACCATCCAGTGACCGTAGATTTCAATGTAACGTGTTTTTCATGGTGTTCACAGAGGGAGCTGTTACAATTTCTGCTTTGGATTTTTGGTCACAGAATTTCTTTTGTTGTATTAACTACCTAAACCCGTAAATCCCTAAACTGAAGACACTGAACTCTTTGTCTGATGGATGTTTGCTTTGTAGGCTACAGAGAGTGAGATGGGAGACGTTGATTTAACAGGTCTTCCAGAAGCACCTGTAGACTCTGAAGATGAAGAAGAGGAGGAGGACGAAGACATTGACAGAACTTCCGATCCACTTCTAGGGCGAGATGTTGTACGAGAGTGCCTTGAGAAAGAGCCCGCAGATAAAACTGATGATGATATTGGTGAGGAGAAAAAAAGATCTTTATGTAGAACTATATCATATAACATCTGTAAGAGGCCTATCTGAAAACTGTTGAGCGAGTTAACATTAAGTGTATGTCCTCAAAATAGTAATGTCTTCCAGAAATCACTTTGCTCTAGTGATACACTTAATTGAATGATTAAAAGAATTGATTTCTTCTCTTCCTATCTGAAAGAGTATTTGTTCTGAGAAGCTTAAGTATTTTAAAGAACAGTCTTTGAGATGCTTAAGATGTAAAGTGTTACAGTCATTGTATGGGTTGCTATAAGGGAGGAATAGGTAGCAAGATAGTTTTGACTGCCTGAAGTGGTTGAATGAGTTGTTAAATGGCAGAGTGAACATACTAGTATTGCAGTACAGATATATTTAATTGTAAACTGCAAACCATTTGAGACTAAAATGATTTACTGCAGTGTTTAACTAGAAATTGGCATTAGTTTTAATAGTAAAATTTGTGTTATGCTATACTTCAGATTACTTCTCTAAACACTGGAAAATCATTTCAAGCTCCTATCAAGCTTATAATTACTGTACCATAAGGGTGTTTTCAATTTTTCTTAATGTTTGAAGCTGAAGTGCTTTTTACACTCTAGCTAGATTGCTGCCATCAAAGTCAATCAGGGGACTGTAGAGTCAAGTTCTGGTCTTTGATGACAAAAAGCATACTGGGCTCATTTAACCAGCGACACTAACGGGAGCTGGGACACCACTGAGCAATTTTAACATGAGTTTAACAGAGGTTTAATTCACCTGTGGAGGGGGGGGGTGTCTAAGGAGCCCCTGTGCCTTACAGTCTTCATACCAATGTTGCCTTTGTCTAACAGAGCAATTACTGGAATTTATGCATCAACTCCCTGCCTTTGCAAACATGACCATGTCTGTGAGGAGAGAACTTTGCTCAGTGATGATATTTGAAGTAGTAGAGCAAGCAGGAGCCATCATACTTGAAGACGGCCAAGAAGTAAGTTGCTGCTTCCAGCACAATTTGAGTGCTTGTAGGCAATGGGTTAACAAGGGCATGTAAGAGTGAAGGACTGGGAAATCTGTTGCACCACTTGCACACTTGTAAGTTAGAGAATTCTTCCCTCACCATATCCAAAATGCCTAAACCTTAGTCCATCCCTTTGGGAGATTCTGCCTGTGTATTACTATCTCGTTCAAGACTTCAACTTGGCCAAGTATAGACATAAACCAGCATTTAGGATGTTGTTACCAGGCAAGTGCTAACATCTCAAGAAGTTTATGTCCGAGAGTATTTGTAGCATAAAATAATGCATCATTTCTATTAGTAAAATAACTTTCTTATACTGTATTTTCATTAAGTACTCACATGGAGAGGTATCCTTGCCCAGCAACATAGGTGGTATAATGTAAATGACTAAATTAGGAGCAGTTTTCATACATACTCAATAGGAGGAGACCAAATTAGTCAGAGGTCAGGCTCCTAGCATAGGTGCTCTGAATCACTGTCTGTTCTTGGATCAAGATGTCTGGAATGGCCATAGCAAGTCACCTCTCCAAGAGGAGTAGGTAGGCTTTCATCTCTGGTAGTGACCAAATGGGTACCCAGGGGAAGAGTGTACATTCTCACTAAATGGTATAAATGTATTGTAGCAATTAGCCCACTGATTAAAAGAGCAATCTATTCATCAGCATTCCTCCCTGCTGAATTAGTTGGGAAATGAATGAAGAACGCTGAAAAGCATTCTTGTTTCAGTCGTCTTCATTGCTTGCCGTACAGAGCACCCTTTTAGTGAATGACATGTTGCAAAACTCAGCTGACAACAAGAATAAGCCTTTCTGAGATAAGAGCACTGGAACAGCTTCTCAAAGTTGTGAATTAGCTTCACTTTTTAAATCCTTCTTTTTACTTCTTCCAGCTTGATTCTTGGTATGTTATTTTAAATGGCACAGTGGAAATCAGCTATCCTGATGGGAAGAGTGAGAGCCTCTGTATGGGAAATAGTTTTGGGATTACTCCCTCTCTGGACAAACAGTACATGAACGGAGTGGTCAGAACCAAAGTGGATGATTGTCAGGTAAGATTACAGTTCTGTACAACTGCCTTCTATTCTTAAGTATGAATAAAAGAAAACAGACTACTTTCATCTTGATGCATGATCTTCATTCCAGAAGCATTAAAATGGAGGTTGGTATGTTATGGGTCAGGGGCTCAGCTGATGTTGAGTTACTTTATGCTCTGTAGTAGCTGAGATTTATTTCATGCTGCTGTTATGTGAGAAACAGGAACTTGTGCTTTGTGCTTGAATATAAGCTTAGTCTGCTGCAGTCATGCTGAGCATGGGATTGACATGCAGTAAGAACAGATAAATATAAAAAATCCATTTTCACTTCTTAGAGGCTTTGGCTTTTCTATGTTTAGCCCACTTGAACCACCTTTTGGAGTTGTAAGAAGGTGACCAGTTCTATTTGTCTCCTATTCTACCTTTCTGGTGTAGTTGGGCAGAACAGAGCAGTGTTATTATCAAATGCTGTGCTTTTGTGAGTGTGTTGAAGCAGCCCAGAGATGGGGATACGTTCGTGGTTTGGGTGTTTATTAACAACCCATGTTGTCTGGGGGCAGTTTGTGTGTATAGCCCAGCAAGACTACTGGAGGATCCTGAACCACGTGGAAAAAAACACTCACAAAGTGGAGGAAGAAGGAGAAATTGTGATGGTAAAGGAGCACAGGGAGCTGGATCGCAGTGGAACCAGAAAAGGACACATAGTTATCAAGGTGAATTTCTTTCTGTGCTTTCCATTAATCTGTTTAACCCTTATTTGTTAGTAAATAAATACAATTTTGGTTTGACTCTTAGAACACATACTCAGTTTTGTTCATCTTTTCGTCTCAGGTATTACCTATGCAAAACATTTGGGCTGAGAGCAGCATAAAGATCTGATTTAAACACTTTAGTGTATTTTCTCCTGACTTTTCATTAACTGAAATGTCAAAAGGGAGTGTAATGTTCATATGGTTTTACATTCAGATACTCTCTGGGGAGAGCTTGTGATGAGAGATACCAGTTTTGTTTTGCATTTAATTTTTTAAGGCAACACCCGAGCGACTCATCATGCACTTAATAGAAGAACATTCGATTGTGGATCCAACCTACATTGAAGATTTCCTTCTAACATACAGAACATTTCTAACAAGCCCCCTGGAAGTTGGCAATAAACTCCTGGAATGGTTCACAGTGGACAGCCTCAGGGATAAGGTCAGTTTGAGTCTGAGAGATTAGTATTTCAGGTGAAAATGTCTCCAAATTGATTCCCTTTTGTATTGATGATAAACTAGGATTATGCTCCAGCTATTTTGTATGAACTGGTTTTGTATGAACTATTTTAAACATTTGTCACTAGTATCAAGACATGATTCTCCAGTGTGTTGTATGCGCATAGTGTAATATCCTAAATTAGGTCTGACACTGCCTCTCCTCTGCAGAGTGATAAATACTGTTTTCTATTTAAGTTAAAGATGTAAATGCCAGTCTCTGAAATCCTTTTTCACCAGAACTGCAGGAAACTGCTCATGATCTCTTGGACATACCATAGAATGGTTTGGATTGGAAAGGACCTTAAGATCATCTAGATCACTAGACCATGTCACCCAAGGCTCTGTCCAGCCTGGCCTTAAAATACTGCCAGGGATGGAGCAGTTACCACTTCTCTGGGCAACCTGTTCCAGCGCCTCACCACCCTCACTGTGAAGAACTTCTTCCTTATACCTAACCTGTTTAAGTTTAAACCCATTTCCCATTGTCCTATCACACTGTGCTTGTCTTCCATAATGTTCTTCTGCAGAGCTTTTCAGTGTATTGAGCACATTTTATTTGAGCAGCTTATTGCAAACTCTGTACTTAAAATAAACTCTGCTCAAGGCAGGTGCAGTTGATAAAAACGGGTCCATAAATAGAACCAGGTTCTACTCCTGTATATACATGCACATACACATGAAAACTACTGTTCATAGTTTGGAACTTGTATCCCTGTCCAATTTGTTGGAAGTGATGGCAGTAAAATTCCTTGCCAGCGGTTTTATGTGTTCTAGCTTAGAGCTGAAGGAAACCCAACACACTATCAAGATGCTGTCTTTTTTTGAGTAGGAAATTGTCAGGGGTCTTTTGCTGTGGTTACTGCTTTTCTTCTTGCCTTCCTCCATGCTGTTCATCTTGGCTGCTACTGTCTATTAGGAAAAGGAAAGTAAAAGAAAACTGTCTCAGCAAATAAAAGAGGAAATTGTTTATTTTTTGAAGAGAAACTGCTATAGACCAATCTTTATATGATTTGGGTGGATAAAATATTTCTAATGAATGGTAGTAACTCTATTGCACATCTAAAAGCAACCTTAAGCTATAACTAAAAGTTTTTTATTATCACAACATACTTCCTAGAACTTCTTTAAGGAGTTCATTAGGATGCTTTAAAAAGGTAAGTTTTATAAACAGCATAAGGAAGAGTTAACTTAGAAGATGGAATTGTGCACCATTAAGTACTGGGTGATGTAGACAATTAGGTGCAAAATTTGTTTCTACAATGAAAGGAAGAGAGATGGTATCAAGTGTAAATGTCTTCTATTTCTGTTTGTGAGCAGATGCAGAACTCTGTCATATGTTGTTCTATTATAGGAGAAGAATCATGGGTATTTAATATATATATATACATACATTATTTGGTATTTTCTTTTTACAGGTTACCAGAGTGGTCTTGCTGTGGGTGAACAATCATTTTAATGACTTTGAAGGAGATCCTGCTATGACTCGATTCTTGGAAGAGTTTGAAAAGAACTTAGAAGATACGGTAGGAGCAAAATAGAAGGGGATCATACTACCTAGTATTACACTTCTTCATTTGCCAGCATGTTACCAGTGACTAACACATTGGAGTCTATAAGTCTAACAGTTAATAGATGCTTTTAACATGGACAGAGTTGTTCTTAGATATGTATTTAGATAAAAAGCCCATATGAAACAGTACACAGGGCACTCAATTATGTGTTTTTGCATTACTGCAAAACAGGACAAGGTTTATTTAGAAAGATTTGGATCCGTGGCATCAAAACTCCTTTTTCTGGCACTTGGGGTGTTTTTCACAACTGTTTTTTTCAGTTTTGTGTTGTCGACTTCTGTGTTACAGAAAATGAAAGGCCATCTCAGATTGCTGAATATTGCCTGTGCTGCCAAAGCCAAATGGAGACAAATTACCCTGCAGAAACCTTCTAGAGACTCACCACTGTTCTTCAGCCTCCTTGGAGGAAGCGACAAGGGCTTTGGTATTTTTGTAGAGACTGTAGAAATAGGCAGTAAAGCGGCAGAAGCTGGACTTAAGCGTGGAGACCAGGTAAAAAGAATGAAGTTCATTTAAAATACTCTGGTTCAACCAACCGTGGTGTTCTTGGCAGAAGATGATGCTGTTTACTGAAAGCAAACAACTGGCTAATGTCCTGTTGTGAATGCCACAGTTCAGCTCCAGTTTGCATGTGTTAAATGGGTTTCTAGTAAATAGTGTTCTAAATATTTGAAGTATTTCAACACAGAATGGGAAAAGAAACCAAATTGTAGTTAATTTAGGGAACTTTCTGATCAGAGGTATGGTTAATTTGAAGCCATCAGATTGTTTTGTTGGATCGATTCCTGTGTGGATCATCCCTGTTCACTGAGGCTGGTGGAGCAACGGCAGTTCGCTCTAGGCGAAGATCATGGAATCATGAAATGGTTTGGGTTGAAGGGACCTTAAAGCTCCTCCAGTCCAACCCCCTGCCATGGGCAGGGACACCTTCCACTAGAGCAGGTTGCTCCAAGCCCCTGTGTCCAACCTGGCCTTGAAAACTGCCAGGGATGGGGCAGCCACAACATCCACAACAAGATCCAGCCTTTGATGTAATATCAGCGCCATGGTCCACTGCTTTTGATTCAGGTGCAAGTCCCAATTGCCAGATGATCAAAGGAAATAAATGTGTTCAAAGTGTTTGTCAGGTAGAAATGGAGGTCCTGGCTTGGTCACAGGATATAACTTCACTGACATAATCAAAGCAGTAATATTTTCATTCTGCAACTGCTGTAAAGATGCTGTAGTAACTTCTGGAAAGTTCTCACTGTGCCTGTATTACCACGTTTGTATTTATAAGTCTGTCAAATAGTTGTTCTCCTAAAAGTCCCTGTTTTTATTTCTTCTTAAAGATAATGGAAGTAAATGGACAGAATTTTGAGAACATTACCTTTGTAAAAGCTCTGGAAATCTTAAGGAACAACACTCACCTCTCCATCACTGTAAAAACAAACATTTTTGGTGAGTAGACTTTATATATGATGTATTTTTGTGTACGTGAAGGAAACTCCAGTCTTTCTGGCTCTTAGAAGCGCATTAAGATTCCAACCTCACTCCAGGAGTGAGAAGTTGTGCAGAAGTCCCCTCGTTGTGCCTCCATTTCTTCGAGAAGTTCATGTGTGCCAAGGGCTGCACGTTGAGTGGCACAAAGCCAGCCATGGGCAGCTCTCTGCTCCCTGAGAAATGCAAAATGACTGTTTAAGCAGCTTTAATGTCCCTTCATGTGATAGGGCTGAAACAGAGCCAAGGGATCTGGACCAAAATATTTTTTGCCAAAACCCAGCAAAAATGCCAGACCAGGCTTTGTAAAACTTTCTAGAATGGCTCTAAGAATGATAGGCTGAATTGAGAAGGGGATATAAAAAGTGGTATGACATCGAAATGTTGCCTCTTAATCATCAGTGTGAATATAAACACATAAATACCTCTTTAAAATCTCAGTCAAATCATCTGTTCTTTTTCCATAATCCCCTTCAGGCAACAAAATAACCATAGCTACAGAAAGAACGAGGCTGTGCCCAAGATAGCTCCTTCCTCTGTAGTTGAATCTGAGATGTCCTGATGGTTTCCTTGTCTTGGTTTCTTCCCCCAGTTACCTGCCCTTGGTCACGATTGATTTTCTTTTCAATTATTACTTTCTTTTTATCACAGTGCAGGTAAAAAGTTTCAAGGTGTGAGCAGTCACTTACTAATTCCAAAAAAGCATAAAACCTCTCAGTAACTGGTGGTCCAGGCTCATGTGAAATGACATAAAATAAAGCACAGTTGTAACTGAGACAGGGATAGATGGTTCATTTGTATTATAAATGTAAGCAACGTATGTTGACACGTGGATTCTAATATCTTTGTGCAAGCTGCTACAATTTCAAGGTGATTTCTCTGATAAATTTTAATGAATTCATGTCTTGAAGCTTTTGTCAACAGTGATACTTATTATCCTGTCTTTTTAATTGAGTGCTAAGCACCTGGTGCTGACAAGGAGCAGTTCCCTGTTCTTACAGTTGAATCTATACGGTGAAGGCTGGAAGCCTGAAATTTTATTGCATAATAGAAATAGGGAATTTAACTGGGATTTTCAATATGCAAAGTCCTGGTTGCTTTGCTCATGGGGGCAGTCTGAGTAATTTCCTTTGTAGGGTTCCGTATTCTCCCAGTATCACCACGTTTGCAAGAGAAAATACTGGATTTCTGACTGCAGTGGTTGAAAAAGATTTTGAAAAGATCTTTAAAGAAATATTTTGAATTGAGAATCCAATTTGATCAATTTGTTTTACCTTTTATTTGTGGGAAGAAACGCAAAGAACCACTGTCTTTTCCACGGACTTGTCTTTGGGATGTCAGTGTTGGTAATAGACTGGCTTACTTTGATAAATGCAATAGGAAATTTGATGCAGCTTCTGTTCAGTGGCATTACTAAAAGCAAACAAAGGCAGGTTTGTGGAGTCTCAGTCTGTCTTGCAGTTATCCTTGAGGAAGCACCTGCACTCCATTACGTAAAAGATGCAGACAACACAGTCAGTAAACACATAGAGCTGATTGCCATGAACATGATGTTTCCTTATTACCTACCTGGACACAACAGACCAGGTCTATTAAATTTGCTGTGGTATGTGCTAATTTCAGAAGTAGCTGGGAGACCTGTGCTGTGCAGAGTGATTGTTTTATTGAACATTGAGGGGATTGCTCTTTCTGCCAAGGTAATCAAAAGCAAAAGTTAAAGGGGAAAAGACCCACACCCTTAGAATGAAAGTTAAAATGCAATGTATTGCCTGGGTTGTAACTCTCGGGCTCGCTTTCACTGCAGGGGTGTGGGAAGCAAAAGATTTGAGGGGAAAGAAGAATTCTCTGTGAAGTTTTAAGTGTGCAAAAGGCAATCACAATGATTTTATCTTCTCTTACAGTGTTTAAGGAGCTGCTCTGCAGGATAGGACAAGAGAAGAACGGAATTCCACATATTCCCAAAATCGCAGAAAAGAAAAACAACCGTTACTCCATCCCCGATATGCCTGGAGATGTGGAACAGATGTTTCCCCGTGAAAAAGGAAACAAGAAAATGAAAGCAAACACTGTATCTGGTGGGAGAAACAGAATCAGGAAAATTTTAGACAAGACATCCAAAACTGTTCAGGTTGGTCAGGTTCTTCTGATCCCAAAGCACTTGTTGCTTACTAAGTTGTGATATTTCAGTTGCTGAGTATCTCCAGTTGTTAGCTCCATGTCGCTTATGTTGGGTTTTTTAAATGTTATTTTTAAACTGCTCATCTGACCCATAAATGCAGAACGAGACCAGCGAATGTTTAAACACTTTCAAATATGCTTTTTCTCTGTCCTTATTTTGAAAGCCTGTCTACAACATGTAATTAATACATCTGAGTGCCATTACTTTTCTTAGTTTCGTTCACCCCAAGATGAATCTAAGGAGCTTAGTGCACATAATTGAACCCAACCTGTTTTGCAGCGACGGGAGCGTGAGCCAGTCACAGGACGACAGCATTGTTGGGACGCGGCAGTGCAGGCACAGCCTGGCCATCATGCCCATTCCAGGAACCCTCTCATCCAGCAGCCCTGACCTTTTGCAGCCTACAACTAGCATCCTGGATTTCTCTAATCCTTCAGGTAAACCAGCAGCATGAGCTTGATCTACAGGATGATTACAAGGCAGCTGGTTCAGGAGGAAAATTACATCTTTTAGCATCAAACACACCGAGTGCAGTTACCTCTTTATTTTGTGGTTCTAACATGTCCAGACTGGAGCTTTTTTGTAATGTGACACTTAGCTTGTTTTCACAAAGAAATGTATTTGCCACCTCTGAGACCAGTCTTTGATTTGTTGGAGTTTACCAGAGCTCCAGTAGAAGCAGAGCGTCCTTGTCTGCACCTTTCTCTTTTGTCATCTGTTCCCAATACCAGTACTCCTGATGATTTGATTTGTCCATCCATCATCTTCAAATATTTCAAGCAGTATTGTGGATGGAGTAGAGCTGCCATGGTACCAACAGTGATGTTAATGCTTGATGTCTTACAAACATTGCATACTGTGTACATGAAAAACTGCAAAATGTTTGGGTATGTGAGGTCCAGGCTTTCCTTGCCATTACTGTAGGAACAGAGTTTGTGGTGGCTGTATGAAGCATTTGTTACATGTCACATCATAATCTTGTTTCCCTGTTTCAAGTGTAAATTCTGTGTGTAAATACGTGTTCTGTAAAGTGTGGTGTGGCTTAGGTTTATGTAAACTTGCAGGTTTCCCCTTCAGAAGGGATGTATGCAGATACATCCTATCAAGTGCATAAATGTCTATAGGAGGTAGGTTCCCTTTTGTGCTGCAAATCCAGGTTCTTGCAGTCTACATGAGAACCACACACATTGTTCTTTAAGAATCTTCATGTAATACTGTACAAATTACTGCATAATACCAGATGTTGATAGCTAGTCCTTATCTTTACATTTACTATAACAAATGTGCTGTCATTTTTGAATGGCAGAGCAAACCAAAGTACTTCTGACAGTGCACTACATACACTTGATCAGTTCTGTAAACATCTAGATCTTGATTTGGTGCTGACATGGTGTTTTTCTTCTTTTCCTGCCCGCAGCTGTTGGGTTTTACTGTAAGTATCCTGATATACAGCATCCTGTAGACCTTAATACCGCATGGCTTGCCTGTCAAACTTAACACTTTCATACATTGCATTGATGTTGTTATTACTGTTAGGGCATTAGATAGACCTTTGCCCCATAATCTTCCCTTAAATAAAACAAATCCATAGGTTTTCTTTCCAGGCATGGTGCTGTGCTGAGGCTGAGACCTGCATCTTATTCCCATTTCTGCCACCAATACACTGCTGACCTTTGGCAGTTTCCTTTGCTTCTCTGTGACTTTGCTTTAAGGAATGAAGTTGCTTATGTCCCTTTTACAGAAACTGAGGTTTTAGATGATACTGTAGTTTGGATCTAGTTTGTTCTTCTTTTGGACTCTGTGTAACTAAACCCATGTGCATGCAAACTTGAAACATGTTTTGTATTGTCAATGCAAGCTGAATAATGGAGAAGAAAATAATTGTTATGAATGTTCACCTGCTTAAAAGCAAAGACCATGCAGACAGGCATATGCTTGTCATAGAAATTTCCCTCAGCTGTCATGACACTCAGTTTTGGTTGGGTTTTGTGTTTTTTCCCTTTTTCCCCCCAAATTACTCTTCAGTTTTTGGTTTTCTACCTTGAGTGTGTCCTGATTTTTAGGTATGTTGATACCGATGTACAGATGTTGGCCTCTTCTGTTGGCTTACCATGATTTTTATGAGCACAGACATTGCCAGATATTCAGTGTGTCATTTCCACCACTTTCACTCTCCAATAAATACGTAATACTTATTTTTCTCTTTTATTGCCCCCATTCATGTATGCACGGAGCGTTTCAGTTTCAGTTAGTCCCCAGCTATTAATGAGACTGTTCTGGTAATGTGATGAGAATGAAATTGTCAGTAGAATTAGTTTTCAATCAGATTGGGGTTTTTTAAGCACCCCATTTTGTCCCATCTTCCAGTTTAGTTACAGGTGATGCTGAGGTTTTCTTTTTTTCCAGTGGGTGGAAACTGTTGATCTCGGATCGTAAATTCCTTGCTTACTTTTTGTCCTGAAAGTCCTGCTACTTGCCAACATAACACCATTAAGTCATGATGCAAGAAAAAGCAACTCCAAGGTCACTGCCCCATTGAAAGAGATCTTCATTTCTTCATTAAACAGTGGAATTTGACAGGGAAAATGAATGCACAGGCAGTGGGGTAACCCCCCGCAGATGGCAGGTGGTTACCTCAATCCAAGATTTGGTGCTTATTGCTGAGGATATTAAAAGTATGGTCAAATAACAGGGAGAGAAGTGAAGGGCTGTTTTGGAGGCTGTTGCAGTAATAACAGCCCCTCACTTCTCCCAGTGGGAGTCGCTGACCCAGGAGTTAATGGTACATCCAACCTGGTTTTCTCAGGCTCTGGAGAAGCAGCTGAGGGCTTAGCCAGGGCCTCCCACCTTCTCAGGTCTGCAGACAACTGGTGAGGTTTTAACCTTCAGAGTTTAGGGAGGGTGGGAAACGGCTTCCCTGAGTTTTAAATCAGTTCATACTCTGCCTCTTGACTTGATTTCCCCATCAGTTTTATTATGAAAATCAAATCTTCTGTAATGGAGCGAATTATTTCCAGTCATCAAGCTGTAGATGAAACGTGTGTTTCTTCAGATATTTATTTCCTGCTGTAGGCTGCCTCCGAGAAAGCTGCTCTCTAATGCATTTATAATACATGAAATGTGCTATAAATAAGTACACTAGCCAAAGAATTAACTGCTGGCAGCAGCTTAGTTCCTTCAGGGTGAGATAGTGAGTGTAAAAGTTTGCAGCTAGTTATGGGAACAACCAAATCTTTGCTTTTCACATCCTCCTGCCTGCAGCCCATCCATGCATGCTCCATGGCTTCCCATCCCTGGGAAGAATGCCCTGGCACGTGTCTCACAAAGACAGATGAGCCAAAGAAGGAATAAATGATGCTGCCAAAGGTTTTGAGACATGCTGAGAAGGACAGTGTGCAGCTTAGCGGTGTATATAGGAGTCTTGTACTTCTCTTGCGGTCGTGGGATGATAAAGTAATTGAGTTGTGGAAGTGCAGGGAGTAGAAGAGTCCTCTTTTTTGCTTCTCAAAGCTGAAGGGAATGACTGAGTATTTTAATGAATATTTATCAAGGCCAGCATGGGTTTTTTTCCCTGCTAGCTGTTTTTTTGTTTTCTGGCTATCAAAAGAGACAGTAACTGACCTCGTTTCATTTCAAGGGAAAAGTAACTTCAAACATTAAAGGTGTTGCTCTGTTATTTCAGATATTCCGGATCAGGTAATCCGAGTTTTCAAAGCAGATCAGCAGAGTTGTTACATTATCATCAGCAAAGACACCACAGCCAAAGAGGTGGTGAGTCACGCCGTGCACGAATTCAACCTCACAGGCGCCCCCGAGACCTACTCCCTCTGCGAAGTGTCAGTCAGCCCAGAGGGAGTCATCAAACAGCGGAGGCTCCCAGATCAGTTCTCCAAGTTGGCCGACAGGATTCAGCTCAATGGACGGTAAATGCACCTTGGTTTAACTTCAGTTTGGATTCATTTGCTTTTTAGAATCGAAACATCCATAAGATCCCATTCAGGGGGGGATCATAGAACACTGGATTAGAAGGGACCTTGGGGATCATCTGGTCCAACCTTTGTAGGCAAAGCATGACCTAGACTAGATGTCCCAGCACCCTGTCCAGTTGAATCTTAACAGTGTGCAACGTTGGTGAACGCAAAACTCCTTCCCTAAATCTGCAGCAGCTGCTCAATGACAACTAAATTTAGCAGTTCAGGATAAGGTATATAATGTCTTACACTGAAAAAGAAGAATCTTACATTTGTTCTGACACTTTCCACATGTACTTCAGGATTAAAACATACAATTACTTTCTCAGTGATGTCATTTTGCAGTGAACTGATACTAACCTGAGATAAATTCTTCCATTTTTATGTAAACTGTTATGAATATTTCTTAAATGTTAAGTGCTTCAGTTTTATCTGATGACCTGGTCCATACCAGAAGAAAGTTTTTATTAAGTAAAAAGTTCTTTAGTTGTCTTTGCTAGGCAACAGAGGGAATTTATGAGAAATAAACTCTTGCATATCTGAAAGAGATCTGCTTGGGACCATGGAAATGAATTTTCCAGATACATTTTCATTTCCTGAATACTCTGTGCTTCATGTAAATAGTAATATGCCACACTATTTATGTAAGAAATCACACTAAATTTGTGTGAGAAATGGAGAAATACATTAACAAGAGATTTCTCAGGACTGATGTGTATTTAAAATGTTATTTTACTGCTGAATTTACAAACAGCAAAGTATCTGACCTTTTTCTGAGGGTGAAAGCTACAGCGTGGTATAGAAAATGCTAGCGCAGAGGTAGATAAAACCAGCTTTTGAACTGGTTTTTTACTCCAGTAATGATGATACCTAGTACTAAGTACAACGTTACGCTGTCCTTTCTTGTCTCCTTTTACACTGTTGTCAATAGTAACACACAAATACTGTCACGTAGACACCCCTGTGGTGCCAGTGATGTCCACCTTGAGTGGTGTAGTTCAATGTCTTTGTGTTCATAAGCCCTGTGAAGCACATCTCTTAACGTTTTATTGTAACTCTGTTATTCTCTAGATATTATCTTAAAAACAATATGGAGACGGAGACTTTATGCTCAGATGAGGATGCTCAAGAGCTGCTAAGAGAAAGCCAGATTTCCCTCCTACAGCTGAGCACCATTGAGGTCGCCACTCAGCTCTCCATGAGAGACTTTGAACTCTTTCGCAATATCGAGCCTACAGAATACATTGATGACCTTTATAAGCTGGACTCCAAGACAGGAAATGCTCACCTGAAACAGTTTGAGGATGTCATCAACCAGGAGACCTTCTGGGTTGCCATGGAAATTCTAGCAGAGCCCAACCAACTCAAGAGGATGAAGATTATTAAGCATTTCATTAAAATTGCCCTCCATTGCCGAGAATGCAAGAACTTCAATTCCATGTTCGCGGTTATAAGGTAAAATGCTTCCATTTGTCAGATCTGATTTGTGCTGTCAAAGGCAATTCTGATAATCTGAACGGAGGGAAAAGAAATAGGTTTATGCTGAAGAGATCACCGATGGCGCGGGGTGGTTGGAAGGGAATTGCCAAGCTCTTCAGAAGCCAGACTCTACGAAGAGGTGCTTTGTAGAGTCACTGCTGTCTTTTCCTTCCTCCTCCTCCTCAGTTTAGTGTATCGTGGTGCTTGATGTGACTGTCTCTATTTTAACCATTACCTAGCAGGGAACGAGAAGAGTTGGGCAAAAGCAGAATTTGATTGATAACTTCAGAAACCTACCTGAGCACTGCCGTCATTTCCATTCTGGCACCCAATTTCCCTTCTTTTCTCAGTCGTTATTGCTGTGTCAGTGTGCACAGAGTCACATCTGCGATTATGAGATTACTTTATTTCTTCCTTTCATTGTAAGGACTTCCTCAAATCACTCTGGTTTTAGTTGAATTTTCCTTTCCATTCTTTCCTGTCATCTGCTCCCTTTTTATTTTTTCCCCTCTTAATTTGCACACTTAGACTTTCTCTTCTGTTTTATACTAGATGCTGCTACTTTAACGGCATGAGTTCAGCATTTCTTTATTTGCAATTATCTTATACCCAGGTTTGACTTTAAGAAAGAAAAGGAAATCAGACAAAGATCTGGGTTCCTGCTGTCCCAGCATCTTTGAAAATACCATTTTGAAATGTTTTCTTCCATGTCTAGCCCGTTTCTTGAATGCTGTTGGCTTCTGTTTAGGCAGACATTAAATAATGAATGAGTTTCCTTAAAGGGCACCGGGCAGCTACTGGGGCTGGGGCTGCTCATTACATGGTGAATACACATGTGGATACTGAATCTAATTTCTATGTTCTGCTCCTTATTCCTCATCATTTACTGTGAGTAGAGAAGTGACTCTTCCTGCTTCCCAGTTAAGTCTAATGAGGCAGTGACTGAAGTGGTCTTTGGTTAAAAAAAGAAGTCAATAAATTAGGTTTTGTCTTACCCTGATTTCCAGAGGAATATGTTTTCGTTAGCATATGCCACGGGGGTTCTCTTTCTTGCCTTGCCTTGCATATCAATACGGTGCCATATGTTTCGTGAAATAGGAAGATAACCATCCTAATACAGCATGTAAAAGAGGGGCTGTGTGGTGGCATATGCTTGATTTTTCACGTGAGAGAAGGCTTTGTTTGTGACTTGACAATAAGGTGGAGAGAAATCTCTCTAAAAGAATAAAGCAAATACCAAATAAGTTTTCTGAAGCTTTCAAAATGAGAAAACAAAAATCTTCTTAGAATAGCAGATTTGTTAATTGTGTGATTCTGGATTTACTGGTGAATGCCAGAAAACAGCACTTTCAATTTAGCTACGAGGGCTTTGTGATCATTGCAGAATTTCTTGAGCAAACTTGGTGGCAAATTCTAATAGGGAGGATGGATCTATTTCCTTTATTTTAATTTGTTGTATTGCATCCAACTAATTCTGCATATATTTTTACTTAATGACAACGAGAGCACAATGACAAGTTTTAGCATTGCTGCTGCTTCTAATTCTCAGACTGTTGGTGCTCATTAACAAATGCTCCAAACCTGGTCCTCTGCAGTCCTGCCACTTTTGCCTGGGGTAAGCTGTGCACTGTTCTCACTTGCCACTGTAGCTGTGTATTCACCTCATTAATTCTCCACCCTTTTGTCCTTATTGCAGTACACATTTTTAGAGGAGAGAAATGGTGCTCAAATTAAACGGGCACCAGTCCTGTGTTACAGAGGGGTTGTTTTGGCAGGCTAACTTGAAATTGGTACCTTGTGAATAGGAAGCAGTCATGGTTTTTACAGTTCTCTTGCTCACAAGAGTGAACAGCAGAGGTTTATTGTGATCAACTTGCAGCCTGGCTTTCTACAGTTAGCCTTGTGAAAAGCTATTTTTAATCCTTAAAACAAACTCCAAACCCTTTACTTCCTTATGAAAGGTAATGATTCCACTAACAGCTAATAATTAAACAAATCTGCCTTCCAGCGGGTTAAATCTAGCACCAGTAGCACGTCTCAGAGGCACTTGGGAGAAGTTACCAAGCAAGTACGAAAAGCATCTCCGAGACCTTCAAGATCTTTTTGATCCATCTCGAAACATGGCAAAATACCGCAACATCCTCAGCAGCCAGAGCATGCAGCCTCCAATTATTCCACTTTTTCCTGTTGTCAAGAAGGATATCACCTTTCTCCATGAAGGTAATGTCAGACACAAGAGAAATAGCAAACTGAGCGTTGAATATGCCTTAGCTCTAATTCAACAGATGCTTAAAAGAAGCTGCCACCAGTAGGATGCTTTTGATGCGTCCTTTGTAGGAGTAAAATAAAATAGAAGTCTGCATGCGTAATGGAAGAGGCTGTTCCTAGACAGAAATTAAAAATTAAAAGCATATTTTTAATATTTTAAAAGCAGTGCTTAATCTTCATCGGGTGTCCGAAGGTTTAGGCTGGAACAGTGGGTGAGTGCTAACTGGTAGTTACGCTGCTTCAAGTATACTCCTCTTACAAAAACTCGGTGCTGCGGTGTCTCTAGGATTTCATTCCGTGTTGTGGCTTTCAGGCAGCTACAATGATCTAACACCTCCTACTCCCGCTTTCAGCATTTTCAAGGGGTTTTGTTTAAACATTTCCATTTGTTCCTTTTACACGAAGTTCTGTTCACAATTGGGTTAAGTTTAAGCATTTCCAAATACGCCCAATTCTTGGTTGTGATGTTTCTATCACAATAGAGCTGCTTGGACTAACTTCAGAACGTGAACACTGTTGATGTCAGTTCTATTAGGCAGAAGCTCTTCCCTGTGAGGGTGCTGAGGCGCTGGCACAGGGTGTCCAGAGAAGCTGTGGCTGCCCCATCCCTGGCAGTGTTCAAGGCCAGGTTGGACACAGGGGCTTGGAGCAACCTGCTCTAGTGGAAGGTGTCCCTGCCCGGGGCAGGGGGTTGGAGCTGGAAGAGCTTTAAGGTCCCTTCAAGTCTGACATTCGTGTTTATATTATTTTATCATCTATGCCAGTGAATTCAGACATAATTCACTCCTTTTTCCTCTTACTAATACTTCTTACTTTAGAAACAGATTAACAAGAGTAATACTAGGTGGTTGGAGTGGGCCTGATGGTCATTTGTGTTTTGCTATTAGGGCAAGTTTGGTGATGGAGGGACAGGGAGTGGATACTGTGAGTGACTAGAAACACGTTGCCTGTTGGAAAGTATTTCTGATTAATTTTTTCCCTTTTTTCTTTCCTTATGTGTGTGTTTCCATCATGCAGGAAATGATTCCAAAGTGGATGGCCTGGTGAATTTTGAGAAGCTCAGGATGATTGCCAAGGAGATTCGCCAAGTTGTCCGAATGACGTCGGCAAACATGGATCCGGCCGTAATGTTCAGACAAAGGTGTGCACTTTACAGTAGGATTGAAGGTGTCTGGGCTGGGGGGGATCTGGGGCTGTGTGTGCATCAGTGCTTTTGTGTTTCATGGTGTAACTTCCCATCGACATTTACATCAGAACAACAATCTTGATCAAATTGTGGCAATAGAATTGAAGCTTCCAAGACCTGCTTTTAATAACCACTAAACCAATTTGTTGTCTTCAGAAAGGAAAGAAGAATAGGTTCTAAGTTTAATGATTCATATTTTTGCTAAATAAAATGTTAGTGCAGGTGGAGTTTTGGGAGAGGTATAATACTAGAGGGCTGTAACATCTATATATGATAGATACAAAAAGCACCTAAATCACCCATGTATAAATCTGGAACTCTGCTTCAAAACCCCACTGATAACATATTAAACCCAAACAAAGTATTTCTATTTGTTCTAAGCACAGCTTGCTCCACCTACATAATGTTTGATATGTTCAGGCTATAAGCAGTGGAGGGGGTTTGCTTGGGTTATTTTTTCTTGGGGTTTGTTTTTTCTCCTGATATCATCAGGCTCTGCGTTGGCAAACTGGGGCATAAAAGCATCACAACTTCTAATCTGGTACTGATAAGCTCCAGATTGTATTTAGTGGAGCTAAATAATGTCCTGCATCTCTTTATAAGCATCAGGGATTCTCTTGTGTCCATGCAGGTCCTGACGCCTGCAGATCCCTGCCAAGGAGGGTGGTAGTATTCTTTTGCCCTGTTAGTTTGCCTCTTGCACTAATGGGCCAGACAAAAATCCTTCAGGATGCAGTTGAGGAGGGGAGCTGGTGACAAGGTGATGTCCTGTGCTGAATCACTGGATGGCTTCACAAAATGACCTATCAAAAAATGAGCTTTGTACAAGCCCTAACTAAATTCCAGTCGATAGGTCACCTCTGAGTTGTAATCCTCTTGGATTTCTGAAGTCAGTTACATCAGTGCAGTGGAAGGAAATATCATGTGCAAGGGTACGTGGCATATTTAAGAGCATTAAGATTTGGCTCCCTGTGGGCTTCCAGAGGTCAGGATTCACAGGTGATGGTGAATCATGTTTGCAAGGCTGACTGTCAGGAAATAAAAGCGTTTTGTTTAAAATGGGGCCATTTGAGGTTTGAGACAAAAATCACAGATCCCTTGTTTAAAGATGTTGCTTAAAAATGGAGCTGTTTCACAGTGGAGACTCACCTTCATACCATTCACTGGATTTGAATTAGCAAATTTCTTCTTTAGCGTGGTTAGAGAGCTGTTTACTGATCAGTTAGGATTGCTGTTCAGAAACTTTGCCATTCACAGATAAACTCAGTCTATAAATAAATGTCCCTGATGCCCTATACGCTTTCTAAGACCTAATGAAGTCTAATCATTAAATGAATTTAGTAGTAAATAGTTACCTTTAGTGTGTTTTTAACAATTACTCAACACATTTTAATGACCATCATTTAAACGATGCACACTGACATAAAATGCTCAGGCATCTAATATTAGGGATAGTGCCAAAGATTAAAAGAAAATAAATCCATATTTTAACATCATTTCTATTCATTTTCATTGCCTCTGGTGTTTGATCTATCAGTTTGTGTTCTGAAGCACCAATAAATGCTTTTGAAGATTAAAAATTAACAAGAAAAGATGCTTGTTAGTGGCAACATGAGACTTGCTGGCGAGTTCATTACCGATTAATATAGAGCATCTACTTTTTCAGCATGTATTTGGTGACTAGCTTGTTCTCCAGCAAGCAACCAAGGGAAAACAACATCATAAACTTGAATACTGATGATCATTTCTCATTAGCTTACTGCAGTCCTAATGCAAGGAATAAATTAATTGAAGCCCACTTTCTGCAATATGAAGAAGTTGAACTGTTTTGGCTTGCTCCATCCAAACTGAATTCGACTTAGGGGAAATACTTAATGGGAGCTTGGTTTTTAAATTCATAGGTTAAACAGAAAACTGATAGATGTTCTTCCATGTTGAAGTGTTTGTGCAAGTCCTGCCCTTGCATTCCATTACAACACTGTGTTCTTGTTTGAGAAGAATTTTGCCGTATAGAAACTTCTTCTTTTCTGTTCTTTCCTGTCTACATCTTTCTTCCTGACTCTCAACTGTTTTATTTTTTTCCTGTGCTTTTCTGTTCAAATACATGCTTCAATGTATATGGCTCTTGCTTACAGGAAGAAGAGGTGGAGAAGTTTGGGGTAAGTGTAGAGATGAATGCAACTAAGATAAATAAAGATTATGCAACTCTTAACATACTGCATCCTCCTCCTTAGTGCATGCATCTGAAATACAGCATGCATTTTATTAACCCTGCAATACATGTGTTTTGGAAAACAGGAATAAGAGGTTACAGTCAACGTTATACTGCAGCTGTAAGAATTCTGAGTTGCTTTTATGTATTGGATGAGTTATTTGAGTTTTGGCTTTATGCATATAAAAAACCCTGCTGTGCAGTTATATTGGCAGGCAGTCTATTTTGGGAAATAAATAATTTGCTTTTTAACATGTAACAGAACAGCTTAAGCCATTCTGGATTTTAAACTATGAGGACATTATGAATTGTGGTAATGATACGGTGATTTCCCCCCTGAAGTTTGAGTTCAAGCTTCGAAGCATTTATTTTTAGTATATATTTAAACTGTATCTCACATTTCATACACCAGAATCCTCATTGACTTCCCTGGGAGTCTCGCTGTTCAAGGATTAAATAATGAAAGGACTACAAATGAGGATACTGAAATTCCTGACAGACCCACGGCAGTGATTTTAGCATCACGTGGAGCCATGTTTTATGCGTTCTTATGTGGCTTTTTGCCCATTCACCTGCTACCTTGTGTACCTGAGCCTATGTGCCTTTGCACTTTGAAACTCTACTTCTTTTTATACTGGGGCATCTGTTTTAAAGCCAGCTGTGTTTTAGTATGTTGACGTTGTGCGTGGAGGATGGAGGCAGGGATGCTTCTGGTCATTTGCCCTATCTGCCATCACTTTGCCACTCACAGGGAAGCCCAGTGCAGCAACTGAGCTTGTTATCCAAGGGTATGCAGGCACTTGTGTGCAGAGAACAGAGTCACCCCTCCAGCAGTGATAGGGGCAGCACCACAACTTGTGCTAGAGGAACCAGGGTACAGGTCCCTGATGAGAAATCAGTTGCGTGATCAGTAATCATCCACTCATGGTGCAGCTCCTGAGGGGAATGCCTTAGACCCAGCTGGAGCCGTTTCTAGCCCTTGGGATTACTGGGAACTAAAAGGAATAAGGAAAAAATAATTGTTAAAGGAAATTGAATTAAATTGCCCTAAAAAGTCAAGTCCAAACTTAAAAGAAAAGCAGTGTGTATGTAACCAATAAAATATAGCATTAAAAATAAACATAATGTAGTATCCTGTTTTATCATATAATAGATACTAGCTCTGTTCTTATCCAGAGGACGTAGGAGTGCCCCTTGGTTTGAATAGGTGTGAACAGTCCATCATGCCTTTTGCTACAACAGCATTACTTTTTCCTTTCCTTAAGCTATAAATTTCTGCCAATTTTAAGCTTGTATTTTCTCTTGAATTGAGTTAACATCTTTGAAAATATTACAGGATTGATTTATTTCTCATGTGTGGAAATACTGCAGTCACCTGCTTTCCACCATCTCTTATTTTGTAGCTCACCTTGCTCAACTCGATAGAGTTCCTCTAACAACATGTTTCATTCTCACTCCTTTGGCCATTCTGCTGGAGATGGTTTATTCTGCCACTTGTGATTCTGTGTATGCACCAGGATCTTGATAAACAGATAATTTACCCTTTTAAAACAAAGTTATTCCTCTAAATGTTTAAAAAAGCCTCACAAACAATCAATGTTTAACAACTTTATTGACCCTTTCTGTTAGAATTTACATGTAACACACACTGTGATCTCCAGTTACTAAAGAACTCATTGGACTGGTGTGGCCATAGGACTTCGACAGTTGCAATGGAGGTGATGTGTATGTTTGAAGAATACTAAGATCAGTTGTTTGGTCACTGCTTCGGTGTGAATAGGAGCGACTGTCAGGGAGAGTGATGGCCATTGACAATTTGGGGATTATTTCTTTTTGCTTCAGTTGCTGACAGAATTGTAGGAATATTGGGAGCATCATCTTTCAATAGATGCAAGTCGGAACATTATCACTGTCTTCCTGACCTTTGTTAGGATACATTCTATTAATGAGCTGCTCTTCTGTGAATGTTCTTACTGAGCTGGAGAAAGAGGTTAAATGTTTAATAAAATGTACTTGGCACAATTAACAGATTTTCCCCCTTATTTAAACACTGTCAGAAGCTCAGTCAGTTTCCTGAGAGGATTACAGTAGTCACTCTTGCACTCAGCTAATTGCCAGAGGTTTCTGTTGTAAGCTGATGCATACAGTGGGTACCAAATTCCTTAGATCAACACGGTTACCAGGTTTGTCCACTCTTACTATCTGCAGTTGACCTAGGTGGGTCTTGCCCAGCAAGAGCTACATGGGTGCTGTGCACAGCGTTGCGCCCTGTTCTTCCTAGTCCCACACTTTCATATGCAGTCTCTTTCTAGACTCAAATTGCTGCTCTCAATTTACTAGAGTATTTCAAGACAAGTGTTGTTTTAATGCTGTTCATCTCTTTAACTCATTTGCATCAGCATGCACTAGCCCTAACTGAAGATTATTGGCATTAATCTGCTTTGGCGTGTGCTACTGTAGCTCCTCGTTGCTGTTGAGAACTGAAAGTTGACTGCTTTGCTCCTGTCTTTCGTAGGTCTCTGAGCCAGGGCAGCACAAACTCGAACATGTTGGATGTACAGGGAGGTGCTCACAAAAAACGTGCCCGGCGCAGCTCGCTCCTGAATGCCAAGAAGCTGTACGAGGATGCCCAGATGGCCAGGAAGGTGAAGCAGTACCTGTCCAACCTGAACGTGGAGACAGACGAGGAAAAGATCCAAATCTTGTCGCTTCAGTGCGAGCCTGCGTATAGCACATGTGAGTACAGCGATCTGGAACGGTGGCATGAGAAGCTGTGGCTGCCCCATCCCTGGAAGTGTTCAAGGCCAGGGGCTTGGAGCAACCTGCTCTAGTGGAAGGTGTCCCTGCCCATGGCAGGGGGTTGAAACAAGATGAGCTTTAAGGTCTCTTCCAACCCAAACCAGTCTGTGAGTCTGATCGATGGGATGTATAAAAAAGTACTTGTTCCTTCCCTAGAAATACTCATTTAAGAACTTTCTCTTCTCCCGTCCAAGAAAAAGCCCTCTAGTAAGTGCTTGTTTGTCAATTCATGTGCTGACAGTTTCAACAAGCCAGCGTTTGTCTTCAGATCTTGGTTGAACTCAGAAAACTTCAGTGTTGTTTTGTATTTTGACCTTTAGTTCTTAAACTGTGTGTCTTCTCATCAGGCTGGAAGGAAATTCAATAGTACATTAGCTCTATTCTTGCCCTGTTGTCCTTGTAGAGAATTAGGAAGGATAAAAGTAACGTTTACCGTATGAACAGCAAGAAAATGAAAAGAGACAAAATCAATATAGAAGCTGCAATGGATTACAGCTTAGAATAAATGAAGATTGTTGAGAAGGAGAAGTTGGGTCAATATTGACTGATGGGATTGACATGACTTGACAGTCAAAAACAGAGGGCTGCAGCAGGAGTTTCCGTAATTTCAACTTCTGTGCAGCTGCCTAAGTAAAGAAACTGTTACTGACCTGTTCTCTTACACAGTTCAGTACATTCACATTTAAAAATGAGAAATGGTAATCGCATTTTATTTTGATCAATAGAAATTTTCACTTGCCTGAAAGGTCAGTTTGTTTCAGAATAGAAGAGTAGAAACCGTGCTAATCAGAATAATGTTTCATGCTTGTCTGCTGTCCAAATGTTGCATTTTAGGGCTTTTTTTGTCCTCCAGCACTGTGTTGTCTCTGACGTGGTAAGTTAAAATCATGACTAGGAGGTGGCATCTTGAAGATAAAATTTTAAGTCCTTTCCATTGTTCACTATTAAGAATGCAAATCCTTATTATTCCCTCAGGTGCCTTCCTATGCAGTTGGTTTTTAACATTTCCTTTTAAACAGCACTGATGTAGGAATGGTGGAGATGGCCATATTTGACTCCCTTCTTAAAAGTGTCAAAGTCTGTGTAGTCCCATTGGCCTTGTGCCTGAGGTCACCAGAAATCACAGGTTCCCTCTGAACTGGAAGATGCACAGCATCATCCCTTGGCAGTGGAGATGCTTGTGCTGTGTTCAGCCAGACATGCCGCAGCACAGAATGTTTCTACTCAGAGGTAACACCACTGTGGGTTTTATGCTTTACACCCCCACTGAAACAATAAATAAAAGTGCGTCAGGATGAACTCTTGGTATATGATCTATGTGCAGACATAACAGTGGCCATACTATGCCCAGGAGACAAACATAAATGTTACGAGGTTGTTTTCCAATTGTTCTAAATAAATCATTGAAAATCTTGTTTGCACAGTGCTAGCCATGGGTATTTGGAAGTACAAACAGGGAGTAAATACTGAGCATTCTACTCCATGTAGTTAAGCAAATCAAGTCCTCTTTTTTTTTTTTTTCTTAAACTTCAAAAAAGGAAAATGAAGTTTCAGTAAATATACAAATAAATACGTAGTAGAGAGACATGTTATTAAAGTGCCTATCTTTAAAACCTGGGAAAAACAAAACAAAGCTCCCCAGTCTCTTATCTCAGCAGTAAGATTCTCCTGGCCTTGCTTGCAAAAGGAGTGAGCAGCAGTAATGCTGCAATCCAGACTTTTCCAAAGGAATTTAAGGAGAATTCAGATGACCTTAGCTTCAGAGTTTGTTAATTACTGTGTGATTAAAGTAGAAACTGCATCAGTGCCGTGTTGTAAATCAATTGTGCCACCTAGTGAAAGCTTTGATGCCAGCTGCAAAACGACTATTCCTTCTCCCTTCAGTGGCATGACGTAAGCTTGAAGGAGACACTGTGAGGCTTTTGCATCTTATGTACAAACATCTAAAATATGGACCTATGGTAGAAATAAATCGTATTTCTTGGCTTTTGATGAAGTGTCTCTGTGACGCTTCAAAGAGTTTAGGTTTTTTGATGCCGTTTCATGCATCAGCCTCTTAAGTGTAACAAGATCATAGAATCACAGAATGATTGAGATCATAGAATGATTAAGATGGTGAGATAGGCGTGTTTGGAATAGAAATGGTTTCAACAATGTTTTATCTGCTTCATACTGTGGTTGCTGTGTCTGGATGGTGCTACTCACTGTAATAATCCTGCAATTCAAAGTGCAAGATACTTATATGCATTTTTTTCCACAACAGTGACAAAGAATTTAAGTGAGAGAAGAGGAGCAAAATCCTCGGAAATGTCTCCAGTACCCATGAGGTCAATTGGCCAAACCACTAAAGCCCATCAGCATCAACAGAACAGGATGAGTCAAGTTCTTCAGGTTCCAACTGTGAATTTATACCCCAGTAGGAAAAAGGGACTGACAAAGGATCACGTCACATTCAGTGAGTATCTTCAGTTCACCTGTCTGGAGAGTTTGACAGGCCCTGTAAATAAAGAGAGAGGAGCTGTCTTAACATCTCTCTCTTGAACAGGTCAGATGTACCTTGTTAAGTCTTACACCGTGTATTTCTGCGTTCTGAAGGGATCTTGCACAACCAGAGTAGAACAACATTGCTTGTTTCCTTTCATGACAAAATGAAATGTAATTTATTTAGGTGAAATTATTGAAACAAATTAAGGAGATTTAATGTTTTAAGCTCTGGAACACCGTTGTAACAACTGTATTGTCCAGTGGAGCAACGTGCATTATTACTTGCTCCTAGTGAGCATCAATTCTTTTCTGTCTCTGAATTTGCTAGTTACAAAGCAGTATTATTATGTGTTAAAATGCTTTTGACCTGTTTGTTTAACTGTTGTATCGTTTGAAAGCTCCAGTTGTGGGTTATCCAATCAGTTGATTGCAGTCAGTAAATGACACGAAATGATACTATGATACATCGAGCATCAGTTCTGCTAAAACAGCTTCAGGAAACAATCTGTTGCAGCATACAGAAGAATAGTATGTGCCAAATGATTCTGTTGTTTTCAAAGGCACAGGTTCCCCACAGAAGTCATTAAGCTTGTCTGAGGAAGTAAGTAGTAAGAAACAAACAGATGACACAATGTCCATGGCATCTTCTTTGCACTCCAGCCCTCCTGCTTCTCCTCAGGGCTCTCCACGCAAAGGTACGTGTGCTGGGTGAACATTCACTGCGTGTGTGTCAGCATCAGTCTCAGGAACCCTTGCTCGTGTTGCACTAAAACCAGGGTGGGCAGTGGCAGGAGTATGGATTGCTAATGGTATGTAAGAGAAATAGTAGTTTAGAATATTCATGTCAAGATTAGAATCATGTCTTTCTATGAATAGAAATAGGTTTTCAGTGTGTTTGTATGTTTTGGCCTTAAAAAATTACCTACTGTTTAAAAAGAGGAAGAGTGTTCTTAAAAATTGCTTAAGTGCTTGTGGCAGAATTCCCAGTAGATCTTAAGTGCCAGCCTATCAGCTCAGGTTTAGGTGGCCACTTACATGAGTGGGATTCATAGACCTGGGGATTTCTTGAAGACAGGTGTTGCACAGAAAGAGGCTGCTAAGACACCTTATGGTTTTGCTGAAGGTACCTGGAATATCAGATGAGTAGATGGAACTGGAGAGAAAATGGTTTCATAGTTCTCCAGAAGAGATGGTCTCCTGCAAAAGTAGTGCATCCATCTAATCCTCGAGTTGTTATTCATACTTGTGTTCTTGTGCACAGGGCTTTGCATACATCCCTGTTTGTCATGATGCCCTCAGAACCCCTTTATTTTTGATGTCTTCATCTTAAAAGACCTGCATCACTTCATCATTAGTCAGCCTTGGATGGGAATTCGGTTGAAATCTGTTAACACCACTTTGTAGTCAGCCAGTGTGGTCAGTGCTGAACGGTGTAAGGCATTTCTCCCTCTCTTCTGTGCTGCTTTTGCCTCACTGACAGCCCAGAGCCACAGGATTGGCATGGCACGGCATGGTGGCTTAACTGCACCTTCTCACCCTTTTCAGTGGGAGATCATGCTGCTCCGTCCACTTCTGCCTTCACAAGATCCTGTTTCCTTTAGGAGAATGCCACTTATTTTACTTAAGCACAGCATACGTGTAAGAAGCTTAACTACTTGGGCTGCCAAATGTAGCTCCACTGAGATTTTTGAGCATTGCTTATGGACATGTTATTTTTGTTAACTTTCATCTGGGTCTTTGAAAATAATGTTTTGTTTCTTTGGGATTATTTCATTAGTTCAACTTGCTTTCAGTATATTTTTAGCACTGATGTAATTTGAGGTGATCCGTACCCTGTTGTATGTGTAATGCTAACAGCTCATTGAACTAAAATTAGGTGCTTCACAGACAGCTGAAAGACGGTTTAGGCACAAACACATTCCACTTAATCTTATATTTCATTTTCTTTTGATCTATACCCAAGTGATATGCAAATAGAACTGAACGAAAAAGGATTTAAAATCAGGACATTATTTCTGCTGGTACTTCTCACTTACCAAGGTATGCCTGTGTGTACTTTATTGTAGTTGGTAACATCCAAAGGTCGGATAACTGCAGTCAGATGAACCTCTCTGGCTCTTCCTCATCACTCGCCAGTGAAGCCAGCAACAAGAACAGTGGACAACGCAGCTATGGAATAGGTGGGGCTTATTTACAAAAGAAAATTTGGATGATTGTGAAAGCAAGAGACAGTTCAGACATGAGTGAAAAGGGAGAAAGAGAAGCTGAGCATGAAAAGGCAGAAGCTGAGCACGAGCGCAGGGAAACGGAGGGACCCTGTTTTAGAAGACCCAGGGAAAGAATCTTCTCCAGGGAAAGAACAGCTTTCACTGCAAAAAGGGAAGCAGAGCACACTGGAGCTTCAGAAAAGAGTGAAAACCTAAAGGACAAAGACAGTGATGCACTGAGCATAGCAAGTATCTATAGCAACAGCAATCTGTGGACATCTTGCTGCCTGTATGTGAAGCCTAGAAGGAGAAGGAAGACTATATGATGTATTTCTAGAAGGAAGACTGTGATGTCCCCATGTTGTGTCCAATATACTGATTCTATCCCAGTTATTTCAGAGTTATACATTTACATGTTTCAGCTGTTCAATGTGCTTCCCTTTCAGAGATTTGTGTCAGTTATTTATAGCTAATCACCCTTACAGTGCAGTGAAGACAGTAATGTGAAGTTTAGAAAATCAAGGAACAGGTACAGTGACAGTTCTGTTACTTAGTGTTCGCAAATGCCAATGAAACAGTAAGTTCTGCATCATTCTCTTTATTAGACTCTAGATAGTCCTTCATCTGATGTAAATCAGATGCTCTCTTCTAGTGTTGGTGTGTATTTACATTGGTCACATCTTCTGATGACCTTTTCAGCCCAGCAAAGGCTGCATTTAGTCTCTTTATGTACGTGTGCGGTTCTCTAATGGCTCAGCTTTCAGACAGTGTTAATCTCTTTCACGAAGAGCCCTTTTGAGTGTTCTTGATGAAGAGTATCTTAAGATAATACTGATATTAAATGCTCATATTTGCTCTTAAAATCTTACAGCAATAATCAAGCTTAAACTGTGGAATCTCTCAAATGATGAGCTGTATGCTCAGTGGCATGTATACCAGTGGCTCCAGGTGCCATATTAAGAGATCTCTGTATTTTTCATGGACTGAATGACATTAATCTTCTGTATTCAGTTGTGTGTGTCACTGGTGTGGCTTTTACACTGCCTGCTCGTTTCACATTTTCACCTGATCGATGTAAATATATGGCACTCCAGCTCATGGAGGTAGATAGGAAGTGAGAAATGAGCAGGAATTTGGGAAAAAAATGCTTATCTGAAGGCTGTGCCAACAGTGTATCAGTGTGGTCTCCCGTAAAGATTAATGAGCAGATGCTCATGTACCTATACATGAAGCAGTTGATGATCCAGTATTTTCAAACCAAGGTTCTAATTTTGTAATTTTAGGCACATAGAATCATAGAATAGTTAGGGTTG